ACTAAGATCGTACCCTAATCGAACTTCCAACATTCAGCTGTTTCAACGACTCATGGGGCTCAGATCATAACAAAGCAATTTACGACTGGGAAAAAAAGGTCAAATACTTGCCAACAAAGGTACTGTTACGCGATAAGTGCGACGTTTAAAATACAAATTAACAAAATTTTACTACAAGAGTAATACTATTATAAAGTCATTTGTTCAATGTGAGAGGTCCACCATAATTTACCACATGCTGAAATTATAAGATAAGGTTATCAAAGAAGGATTTCAAGAAGAATGTGAAAAATATGTTCGCACTATGCTGGTCTTCAGCTTCATGTCAGACACACATCTCTCATAAACACGAGCTTTCAGAAATCGCCTGAGAAAGAAGTCACAAATATTGAGATCTGATGACTGGAACCAGGCATACTCATGAGAAACATAAGATACTCTGAAACCAATTTTTAAATGTGTTTTACGACTTATTTTAATAACATTTATTGATATGTTCTTGTTTTAATCTCATTTATTGGTGTATTTTGTTCAAATATTTGTGATAAAACATTTTTACTAAAATCACGCTTTCCTCCTTCTTTAAAGGTATGGAAAACCACAATAAATTATTTTCGACAATTATCAACGATTTTCAAGCAAAAGCACGGTTTTTCCTAATCTGGATTGAGTTTTTGCTAAAGACCACGCCATGTCGTGGCAAAAATTGAAATACTTTATTTGGCTTCGAAAATCTTTTCCCTATATCCGAATATCACGTGTACCAAATTTCAGTCGACTTAGTTGAACAGAACAATTTCCTCGTGCCTTTGGAACCGTCAATTTAATTATACCTAACCCAGTAGATTATTTACCATCCTACTTGCTTCCATCCAAAGCACACGAGGGCTATCTACCTAAAGGGAGGGATGCCTTCGTGGACGACTTTCTATGAGAAACTGGCTCGTATACACGTTACACATGGGGAAACCTACGGAAACGACCATGCAGCCAGCCCGTTCGCGGGATTCGAACCTCGGACCGAACTACCAGTGTTCAGCGTCTTTACCGCTCGGCCGCTGGTGGGCTCTGCTTGTATAAGAGTAACCTACAAACAAGCTTTTATTCAGCTGCCCTAGGAATTAGCGAGAGTTTCTTAAAATGTGGATCAATATTAGCTGTTAGAGCTGAGAAAAGTGATAATTAATCAGTTAAAAAGTGACAGTTAAAGATTTCGGTATTGTTCTGATTAGAGACTGTTGAACATTCCGACGAGCATGAGAAATCGATGCAAGACTAAGCGGTTGCAGAAGGCTACATATATTAAAACACAGAAATGAAATTCGCATATTACTTTTTTCATATGTATAATTAATACATTTTTCTCCCTAATGATGTCCCCTTTTTCCCCTGCTTTCAAGAAAAAACGCTGCTTGGTAAGTATTGCCACAGTCCAGATAGATGCCTTCTACATTTATAATTGTGTTTTACTTAAAATATTTGATTACACAAGAGTACGGAATTTCCAAGCTCTAACAAATGGTTTGCAAATAAAGCTGTTGAACATGCATTATAATTCAGTTAGAATCAATCCTCCGATTTAAAATTTTAAAAATTAACAACATATAGCGATATACAGAATATGAATGTAAAAGGGAAAATGTCTAAAGTTTTATTTATAAATGTTCGATATGACTTCCATTAGTGAAAGTATAATGTCAAAGCTACATGGAAATTTCTATCACACATGTTCTGATGAGCGAACGGTAACTGTTTCTAAAGCAATAGAAATGCATTTTTTTAGGTTCGTCTAGGCTTGTGAGTTTAAGTGGCACAAACATCTCATCTTTGATGTACCACCAAAAGAAGAAGTTTCAGGTGGTAATATTTGAAGACTTTCGATGTCAAACTGTTTAAAATCAAACATCTGGTCCACAGCGTCTAACTAGCATCTTAACGGCATCGTAGAAACAACACAGCGCAAAAAGCTCTCAGCTGTTCAGACGCCATTTTCACTATTTTTTAAAAAACAACTTTTTAAACAACAACCCAGCGCCCCTATTGTTTTTATACTTAGACATTTTTCCTTTAATTCACATAATGGTTATCAATCTATTTGGTTTATTTTAAAACTATAAAAATTTGTAATTGGATGGTTCTTCCTGAATTATATTATGATAATACAATCATAACACTGACCTGTTTCTTTCGAAAGTCTAACATTTCGACTGGGAACATATTCCGGTTACGTTTGCCAACATTTTCTTTGGAATTTCGCTTCCTTCTTGAAGGACAAACTGAGGCGCCATTTACTTTGAAACAATGGCAAATTAAGGAAAAAGAAGGAGCTGTACTCCTTTTTAAGTTCAAAATAACTTTCTCAACAACACGGGGGGGGGGGGGGCGATAATGAAAACTTATATAAATGATTAATTTCTAAGTGACATGAAAAGATGAAGTGAAATTCATCGAAATGAATATATTCATCTGAATGATTTATTCCAAATGAATTTGCATTGAGATTGCACAATTAAAACTGTAATTCATTATAATGCATTTAAATATATTTATCATTTAATCGAACTGTCAATTTTCGTAATTTCTTTAAAATTGAACAAAGAGAAATCAAATATGACATTTTGTGAATTCGATAACGGTTCAGCACAAAGTAAAAGCATTTTTTTTTTTTTTTTTTTTTTTTTTTTAACTCAACATTTTTTTTCAACAATCTGCTAGCCGAATTACGCTTATGCTAGAACTTTTATGGAACAAAAGTGCTTAATGATGACGAAGATTAGGTGCGAAATTAGGAGAAAGTGCAGAATCGCAAACTGCTTTCCGCGTTTTTAAGAATTGCACATACACGGTATCCATGTACACGTCGACCTTCTTTCACTTAAAAAAACATTCCAGAATTGCACAAAAATGGCAAAATGGCATTGCGCACACTCTTGACTTTATCCATGTACACTGCTAAAGTCCTAGCTAGTAACCTTTATCGCCTTACCAAAATGTCGCCAAACTACCTGTTACCATATTCCAAAGATTAGCTGCATTATGGTATTATCCCACAGATTCTCAGTTGTATCAATAAATGCTATATAACAATAGTATAAAATAAATCGGTACCTTTCCGTTTCGCCGGCGCATATCTCGCCAAGCATACTTTGTTGGCGACAACATACAGTATACACATAAAAAATGTTAACAAATGTTAGTTCTAAGAATTTTTTATTTTGAAGGCATAAACATTTTAATATGGTTTAAAATTTTGTAAAAAGCCAATAAATAAAGACAATAAATTTGTAAAAAGACATTAATTCAAGAATTTATTATGCTATCATGGTTCAACATCCTGATTCGCCGGTTCGTATCACGCGACCCCAAGTGATCTCATCTCATGTAAACTACGCTACAAAAATATAATTCTCTCAGTAACTATCTACATTAATTTCAAGTGAAATCTTACTTTGGAATACAAGTTTAAATGCAAGAATTATTTCAATTCTTACGAATAGCTTACTCAAAAATTATGTAAAACCGCAGTGCTTTACTTCGTTAGTGCATTCTCATTAGAATTGATGAATTTAACCCTTGATTTTGCCTTTTCTATATTTTCGCCTTCGGGTGAGCGGTGTGTTTACATCCTAATTGACATTGTAATTGCATGCCAGTATTGAAAGAAACAATCAATTTGGTAAGAAACGGCTGCGACTTGTTTTGAAAATGAGGCGTAAAAGTTACCAGGGAAGATATTCAGTTTGGCATCAGGTGTACCATTATTGGTGAGTATCGTTTGCGCCGGCAAAACGGAAAAGTACCAATAAATCATATGAATCCATCTAATGGTATCAGCCATATTCTTCAATTGCAGTCACTTTATGTTTGAAACTCATTTTTGATATGCTTCAAGAAATTCTTGATGATTATGCTGTTGATTTTTAAAATATCAACAATGATCCGAAAATAATGATTTTGCATATAAAGGTTTATGGCATTATGCTATAACCACATATCTCCAAAATCGATGACAGAGTATTTAGTTTCACTATTATTGAAGTTATTTTATTATTAATATTTTATTATTTATATCAGTGAAAAAATAAGAACACGTACCTAAATAAATAAATAGCTTAATTTTAGTTGGCTTAGAAAGAACAAGCACTCTGGATAGCTGAAATCTCAGTCGGATATCAACAATCTGGATAATTTGAGTTTCGGATATCTGTAGTTTATATATTTAAAGTTTTGTTGTATTTATAGTCAAATTAAAGACATTAATAAGCAAATCTGAGTTTAGAGAAGTGCGCGGATTATGTCCATAAATTAATAAACATATGCGCCATGAATACGTATCTTTATGGCTATTGTAGAGAACTTTTTGTAACTATTTATAATAGTACAACCCATTCAAAAACGAAATAAGAAACAGAAATGATTAATACAACAGGACAGATGAAATCCCCCTTCCAAATACAATTGCGCGTCTGAATCTGCTGATTCAATATATGGGTTCGACATTCCAGTTTGCAACGGTTTACTACATTACAACCGCAAACATTCGGTAGTTGGTCGGCTAATAGGACTTAGCATAAATCATATACAATGTGTGATAAGAAACTTAACAGTTAAATTTGCTGTACCACAGATAAATCTATGCCAATTATATTTTTTGCTGCAATCATTTGTTAACCAAATAATCCTTTTTGGTTTCTCCTGTATAGTTTTAGTCAATTTTGCCGCTTGCAAAAACTTGCCGCCCTGTGTAACGCATTACCGTAATCTTTTAAAGTCTTCCTCTCCCATATACCCGATTTATACATACTTCTGAAATAAAAGTGGAAAAATCTTGATTATAATATCCTAAACTGGCGATGCCTCATAGTACACTAACATAATTGTTAGGATCAAAAGAATCACTAACATAGAATTTTTCTAAAAAGAAAGTTGGAGAAAAATGGAGCAGTTTAACAGAGCTTAACTTCATTTGTATAAGAGAAGTAAAATAAAAGTCAACTCACCGGCCAAATGCTGGATAGTTTGCCTGAATTCCAATTCCTTCTCGTCTATGTAATCCTGAGACTGGGCAGCAACGATGTCCGCCGTAGTCAAAGTCTGTACTTCTGTCTCATCCACGCTGTCCATCCGTCGTTTGCTCCATGGATATGTGGGGCCCCCTTCTCGTTTAGCGGGGCTATCCTGTTTTTTGGGACGCCAAGATGCCATGCTTCGCGAGGATCAAAAATATCACTAGCACAAAACTGTCCTCTGCATATTCCGCTCAGCTCTGCTTTGCCATTGAATTAAGCACTTTATCTACAACCTGCAACGAGAAACAATGAATTACATTTTGATTGCACATGCACGCCTGTAAACAAAAACGTGGCAAGGAAGAAAACCCACAATTTGTGACAGCGCGAAATCCATTCACGAACTTCGCGTTCAAGGGCACCCATGTCGTAAAATGTTAAGTGAATCACCAGTTAAGATTCCGTTGCATTTTAAATCTCCAAACATAAAGAAATAATACTCAGACAAGTATTTCACTTACAGATGCTAAATTTCTCATAGCATGGTGATTTAAACACAGATTTCAATAGCATTAGTAAAAAATAAAGTATATCTAAAATGACTCGCTAATTCAGGCTTTGGAAGAACTTTCTTCTGTCTGCGAGGAGTAAATAAGACCGTTGATTATAGGTTATTTCTTCAAAATCCGGGATGCTACATTATTAGCATTATTTACGTGTTCCGTCCTAAGGCACTACACGGAAGGGATGGATGCCTTCGTGGAGGACTTTGTAAGAGAAACTGGCTCCTATTAACACGTTGCACATGGGGAAAACCACAAAAACGCCCCATACAGCCAGCCCGTTCGCGGGATTCAAACCCGGACCGAACTACCAGTCTTCGGGAACTTTACCGCTCGTTCACTGGTGAGCCGGGAAGCTACATTGGGCTTCCTTTTTTTTTCTCTCACATAAGTACTAATCAGTTTCCCTTAAAATGCCCTCAGCATAGGTACCCACTCTTAAAGCAAATAGCTCTTGCATGCTTTGCCTTAATCAATTAATCCTGAAGAATAACAGACGCATTTTCCAGTCCATAAATATACCCTGTCACAATCTGGATTATAATAGTAATAAGACACTATATTATCATTATGCGGACAAGCGGCTGAGCGGTAAAGACACGGAACACTGGTAGTTCAGTCCGAGGTTCGAATCCTGCGAACGGGCTGGCTGCATGTGCGTTTTCGTGGTTTTCCCCATGTGTAACGTGTATACGAGCCAGTTTCCCTTAGAAAGCCCTCCACGAAGGCATCCCTCCCTTTAGGCAGATAGCCCTCGTGTGCTTTTGCCATAATTGAACAATCCATCCATTGTCATATCATTACAGATTTATTACCATACGACGTTAAATTGTCAATAATATTATTGCATTTTGTGAAAACTTTGCACTAAAACATCAGATTTTTCCATTATTGAACATTTTTTTACAGCAGGGTAAAAATATGTTTATTGATCCCCGTTAAATTAAATGTTCTAAAAGTTTTTAAGATGTATCAGTCTAATCCATTTTTTGTTTATTGAAATAACTAATATTTCCTTATGTTTGAAAAATTCTACTGTAGAGCAAGGTTAAGTACGGGCAACACCTATTACTTATTTCTAATAAGGAAGTATTCTCACTCCGTACTATCTAAAGCTAAGAATTGTGGGTCTCACTTGCGACGTCGGAGCTGAAGGCAATTTCTTGATGATTCACAACACAGAGCTCTTTCAGCCACCTCGGACCCTGTACCGTCTCACCACCTAATCCGAGCTCCAGTGTTTATGAAGAACTGAAGATTTACAAATTCCTTAAAACACAGAAAAATGTTGGAGTGAGCTGCAGGATGCCGTTCGTAAGGATAAACTGGAGTTCAGATATTCTCTGCATTGAGATTAAGGTTTTCTTATGAGCTAAATCGTCGAGTGGCTCTTTTTCTGCACGGATGAATAAACGTGTTGCGTTTTTATGATTTCTATATTATGATTCTAGATTTTAGTAGTAATATATATAAGAAACAAACAATCCAAATTTAATTTTTTCAAAAATTTACCTTTCTTTAAAAATTAATTAATTAATTAATTAATAAAAATAAAGAATTATGGCTTGGTGGCTGCTTTGCGACAAAGCTTCCAATCAATTTAACCAACTAAACCGAAATTCAATCTCTTGTCTAAGCTGTCTTGTTTGACATTACAAGAACTATTCAGATGAACGACCAACAAGACAACGAAGACTTTGTCACCGGAATTACAAATAAACATTCTTAGTTCTCAATTAATTTTTGCTTCTTGAATAAAGTCCTTCCTCGTACCTCTCTTTCTCGAAACACAGAGGGTTTTTATATAAAATCAAAATGAATTTAATTCTGAGTTTGGCTAGATTTAAATATGCTTGTGAAAATAAATATGGATTTAAAAATAATGCATGATCAAGTAGGCAAGACCGTTGAACACGGTCAAAATCACGTCAAAAATGCGAAATCTATTGCCTAAAAGGAAGGATGCTTCTATAAAGGACTTTCTGAGGAGTAATAAACTAATAGTTGCTCTGCGCATGTGTAAAACAACGAAAGCTGAACGCAATCAGCTCGTTCGCTGAATATGATCGGCCGATGGTCGGTTAAATATTTCTATATCATGGCAGAAAACATTAGAAATTAAATAAACTATTGTACAAAACAAATTGTACTGAATATAAACAAATAAAATAATTGTACTGAATATAAACAAATTGTACTGAATAAATTAGCTCATGCAACACATTTAGAATATTTCGGTTTTTCCCATAATCCTCAAAATTTTTCCACATGCAAATATTTCCTTTGAGATCATAGAACACTGATTACCACAAAATTTCTACATTTCAGCCGCAACTTTGCGTTACTTTAATACAGTGATATATGCTTCTTTCTGGAATCAAAACCGTTAGTCGTTGCACTAAAACACTTTCGAGCAGTTATACACATATTCGCGGTGTACCTATACCTATACAGTATCTACCCATACCTACGACCACACAAATAGCAGGAAATTTTCCCCTGTGTAAAATGTGCCAAATGAAGCCAAGAAACACAGTTGAAGCACACATTAAGAGCATGTGCTACTAAAGAAGAACAGCAGTTAGGTTGCAGATGAAAGTGCAACAGGTCCTGGAGGATATCCAAGAGATCTTAAGATCGGCCAAAGCGAGTGACGCAATATTTAAGGAATAACCTATATTTCGAGCGTAAAAAAGCGTATTTTAAAACTCGGTGAGTTATATTCTAAGCAGATCTATTTTAAGATCACCACTTCAAAGTGTAACACTCACTCCCCATGTATCAGCAAAGCTGGCAAAAACAGAAGACATCTTATACAAGTTCATTTGAATAAAATCCAGTTGAGTGAGAGAGAAAGTAACTAAAAGACGCACAACGGACATTAACATTTGACGCTCTTTTAAAGCCTATTCAAATTATTCACTTAATGTAAACTGTCCAGAATAGTAATGTATAATCAGAGTTAAATTTAGAATATTACAAAGTTCCCCTATTGAGTTCCGTGTCTTGTAATGATTCATTTTAATAGTTCTATATATTTAAAGCATCATAATCGTAAGAATTTTAATTTCTCCCTAATAATCTATAGCGACTCAAAAGATATTAGGGCATAGGAAACCTTCAAAAATTTAGTGATAAAAATTCAGCTGTTACACCAAAACTAGATATTGTTTTACTATTTTATAGGTAAAAATACTATGCTAAATCCATTTAAGATAAACAAAATTAAGCCACACTAATAAATAAATCAGATATTTTAGTATTTTGTCTTTAAACATGAAATTTAAAGCAAAAACGTACTGGGGCGTTGCGGTAACTAATGTGATAAACAGCCAGTTCTCTCAGACTTTTCTTCTGAAACGCCTGAAAGAAAGATTTTAAATTTACCAAGATCGAGGTGCCACTTCGCTAACATGAGAGAAAAAATTCTAAGATTTCTTTTGACGTGAGAAAACTTAACAATGACTCTAAGTAATAGTCGGATACTTACATTTTTACATTTCACAAAGCAATTCTCAACATACGAAATAAGTCAAATAAAATGTAAAATAGTCTTTCATCGTTCGAATACATATATACAAGCCATCGTTCGAATCATAAACAAAAACAAAACTTAGCCACTACTAATTTTTAAAAAGTGTTTAAAAAGAGTGAAAACTCTCCTCAAAATAAATCTTATAAATTTGTCATATTTCATACGTACAATGCAACAATTTCAAAATTTTTCATGAGTTCCTTGTAGTCAGTATTAGTTTTATTTGTTCTTTGCTTGCTAATTTTCTCTTGATGATTAACAATGGAAAAGCACAATGGAAAAGCAATCCATACAAAGGTTTTTGAAATTCGTCAGCTTATATTAAAGCATTTTGAAAACGGATTGTCAGTGAGAGATATATCAAAAATAGTAAAACAAAGTCATTCAGTAGTAAATGACATATTCAAACGATTTTAGGGGGGAAAAAAAACCATCGAAATTTAATCAAAAACAAGCAAAAAAAAGACAAATTCTGAATGGATGTTTTGGATCGTATGAGAAACAATGAATAACCCAAAATTAAGCGCTGTCAAATTGGCTGTGGAAGCAGAAAATCATTTTGAAAAAAAAACGCTAATTCAAAAACAATAAGAATTATTCTCAGGGGGGAAAAATTCGGTGAATAAGTTGCTGGGGGAAAAAAAAAACCTTCGAAAGCAAGATCAATCATTTAAGTAGACTGAAATTTGCAAAACTTCATAAAAATAATGACTTTATTTTGAAGAATAGTTTCAGTTACGAACGAATGCAAATTTGGTATATTTTATTTGGATAGCAAACATATTGTTACTTTTTTTTTTTTTTTTCCGTGACAGCAGTTGTTACGTTATTTTCTTCCTTCACGTTCGTACGGGGTTTGTGAGGATTTGGAGTGCATAAAGACGACACTTGATGCAGTATCGAAACACACTTTATTTAGCAATATTCTCAGGACAGCTCCAAAATCACGTTTACAGTCGTCGAAAATCTCCTATAAACACGCTGAACTCAGCGACACAGCCTCCACGTTATCAGGCTATAACGGAAGAGACAGCTTCACTGCAAAGCACCAGAGTACAGCTCCCGACTCCGCTCGGTCGTTCTCGGAACTCCACGTACTCTCGAGACTCTCCACGCTACAACTCGCGATGCACTCGAAGACACACAGAACACAGCTCCCGACTCTTCGGTTCGGTCGTTCCCGGAGCTCAGCACG